TTGTTTTGCTCTCTCTCATCTCATGAATCGATTGCCAAACACTTTCAATTTCAGGTAAATTCATTACAATTTACTAGTATTATTAATCCTTTTACGATTGTGTGTTGAATTTGATCTGTATTTATATACCTGACTTTCGCGCTTTGATTATTACTGATTTCAAAGATCGAAAATTGCAAACGATCATATTGCCGTGAGAAATCTGTACAAGAGCTCCTCTTTTGAACTTGAATTTCTGTTTCGAGTATCTGTCATGTATTTTTAATTGTTTCGTATAGAATTTGTAGGATTTTCTTGTCGTAATTCATTAAAATTAAGGTTCAAAAGTTCAAACTTCGAATTACAAAAATCCTGCTGAAAATTTCGAAAAATTTGTCGTATAAATAAAATTGTGGATTTCCGATTGAATTTCAACTACGTAAGATATAATCTGAGGTGTGTACTAATTAATGCTATGGTTGAAGTACATTTCCATGGAAAACCTTCATAGTTCCAAAGCTCCGAAGCTGAAGTCGCTAAGCCGCAAGCTTTTGCCGATCAATATGCAAAATGCCATCGGCCGCCGTTATCACCATTCAATCTTCGATCCGTACGCATCCGACAGCTCGAACTCTCCATCTCCACTGGCGAAGTACCTCCGCTCCACCACTCCGCTGGCGGCGATTGAGAACCTGCAGACGCCACCGACGGTTTTCAGAGCACCGATGAAAGTGGAGGAAGATGTACTGGTAATGGACGGCATTCTGATAGAAAAGTCCAACAAAAGCTGTGACAGTGGTGGTGTAAGGGTTAGGTCATCGGTAAAATCATCTGATTCCAGGAGAGGCAGCTTAGGGAGTTTGATTTCTTCTTCTTTATCGTTGTCGTCGCCAGGCGGCGGCGATGGAGGGAACGAGAATAACAATAGAAGCCTCTACTGCTACAAGGCTGAAAACTGTCGGTCGTGCGAGGATTCTAGTATATGCCGCTTCGGATCCAAATGCCAGGTCAATACAATTCTCACACTGTGATAAAATAGTATAGTAATCAACAGTGATAAGATTCATCCACGGCTGTGATTAAATCTTGTTTTCAGGAAAAATCTAGTGCCAGTACTGTTCACATTGCTAAAGTACAAACACCAAAGCACATTGTACATCTTCAAGCCGAAAAGAGTTGTACTTTATTTCTAATTTCCTAAAGTCGATATTTGTACTGTGCTTATAGAATGTAATTACAATTTGAACAGTTCGCACACCGGAAAGAAGAGCTGCGCCTGCGCACAAATTCTTCATCAAGCAATAGCAAATTTGAGGTATAAAGAACTGAGAATCATATTCTTGTTATCAGTAATTTAACATAGTGAATACTAATTTGGTGGTAATATGAATAAATTTCTCACTCTACATCTTTTTGATTTCGCAATTTTCATCACAGATCTGCGAATCACACAACATTTCAGGAGGATCAAGTTCTTCATCTTATGGCACAAAGTGCCGCTTTGGTCCTCACGAGATCAAAGCAGCACAAGGACCAGCAATCACGCCAACACTGCCAATACCTATGGCCTTGCCAACATCACCCATCGAAGTCAAACAACCTTCTGATGCTTTTGTCTTTAGCAGACCTTCAACTACCAGTCTTACTACCTCTGATTGGACACCTCAGGATGATGAAATTGAGATTACTTTACCCTGTGGTACAACTGAGAGAGAGAATCCCTCAAGAGAAGATGTGGATGATCATATACAGAAGGTTCTCTATGGAACTGGTTCAAGGAAAAGATTGCCCCTTTTTGCTGAATTTTGCACAGTAGACGATTGATTTGGAATGTCTTTGCTGAAGAAGACACTAATTTTCAGCTGAACATGACTCAGGTTTTTGTTCAGAACAAAGGTAACAGACTTACATACTTGCCACTGGTTAATATTGTAAAATTTCCGTGCTCTGGGTTTTAATTTGGTTCTTTTGGAACATCTTATAGGCTATAAGATAGCACTGTAATTGAATAAAAGAAGTAAATATCCGCATACCTTTCTAATAACATGCATTTTTTGACTTGTGATGAACGAAATTTACACTACTGTATTGTGGAAGTCTACTTGACATGTTAATAAAATTCAAGGATGCTTGGAACTTTATATTCGCTTCCCACATGAACATGCATTTATGTTGTATGGATTTCCTCTTTCTATATATTCTTGTCGAGAGATTTAAGATCTATTCAGCAATGGCGGTGTTTAGGTTGGTCTAAAATGCCAACATTGCCAGTTATTTTTCAGCATCTATTTTTGTGTATTTTAAGTGTGCGTTGATTCATTTGCTTCTTTAACTCTGTTGCTTAACAAGATATAGTTGCTGATTGCAGCTAGCATGTACCAACTTATTTAGCTGCTAGTGTATCATTGTGAGGATGATAATCAATAATAGACAAGGACAATAATATCTGCAACAGAGAACTAGTAAGTTTTTTCATGATAATTGATTATGTTTGTGTCACCCTATGTTGCTGGTGCATGCATGTCTGTGTATTTAAGGGTGTCCCAAATTTTAGGACTTGGGGGCTTGACTGTGAAATCGAACCAAAAATAAACAGCCAATGATTAGTCTAGGAGACAACTAGTCTGAACATGCATGATAATTAAATACAGGGGCGGAGCCAGTAAAAAAATTCAGTGCGGGCAAAATTTACTGTTAAATTTGAAGTATAAAAAAAAAAAAAATCTCTTTATAACAAAGAGACTTGTACAACTAATTTTATAACAGACCACACTTTCGACTTCAATAATTTAATATTTCACAAAGTGGAAAATACTTCACTCCCACTAGTTTTTTCCAGCAGCCCATTTTTCTTTCACTCACTATTTCTCCCTCCCACTTTTCTCCCAGCCACTATTTCTCCCAGAAATTTGTAGAATGGCAGTGGACAACGAATTCCACATATTATTCAATTCTTGCTTTAAGAAATGAAAGTAAATATGAAGTCTCCAGGCTTTTAAGCTAATGACATGCAGGGGCAATCTTACCCCACTGAAGCGAAGAAAAGTGCTTAGCATATTAGCCTAGCTACAACTACTAAAATGAAGAGCATAGGGAAAGAGGGGATTCATGAGGATAATGATGTACATAGGAGGTCCTCATTCTCAGGAGCAATAAACAATAAGGGCTCATCTTCATCTTCATATAATTCTTCATCTGGTGCTTCTTCTTTATCCTCGTCTTGCTCGTTTAATTCGAATGCTTTTCATGAGTTTCACTTCCTCAGCAGTGTAACAGAAATTTTGGGTTCAATTGAAGCAGCCCTTCTCCTTCTCCTCCTCCAGTCCTCCTCCTCCTCCTCCTCTTGGTCCAGTGCAGGCACACAGGAGCTTCCTGTGTCATGCCCAAAGTCCAGTGCGGGCATTGGCCTGCACTGGACTCTATGTAGCTCCGCCCCTGATTAAATATGTTAACTTCATATATGTCACTTGCAATAGGGCACAAGTTTCTGTTACAAGTGCATATGAAAGTGTGAAATTTTAGAACTCCAGTATATCGTTGAAAATGGAGACATGTTATTCTTAAAGTTGGGAAGCTGATATTGTATTCTTAAAAAGTTATATGTCGTTGAAAATGACAATAACAGATCATATTATTTTAAGTAAAACCTTAATGCTTGGTTACTTGTGTAAGGTATAAGTTGTCTAGGTGTGATGTCCATCCTTGAAAAGTTGGTCATGGAGATTGTGTTTTGTTAACACAAGTGCATTATTGATCACCAAAATGTTGGAGTAATATAGATATCATCACCAATATGGAGATAATTGCTGTTTTCTTTTGCCTTTTGCTATATACTGATAAATGAGAATTCTTTAATCCTTTTATAACTCTATTTTAGTTTATTTTGCCATAAGGCTGCTTGCATAATTCGGCACTAAGATATGGATTATCAATAGTATATCTATACTTCATGTTACTGCAATAGAAGCCGGCTTCTGTTCAACAAAAGGTGAATACATCCCCATAGCTCCATATGTATGGATAAAATGGAATATGGTTAGGATGTAAATATTGTTGGAAAATTTCATGTATGGAGTGACAAACAACGCCGGGAAATTCGTTAAAGTACCTTTAAAATTCTGTAGAATTTTCGGCAGAGTAATGGTAGGAAATTGACTCCAAATAAATCCTCAAAAATGTGTAGTATAGCAGTAATAATATCAAAGTCGAGGTAAGTGTTGAACACTTTGTCCTTAAGTCGAATGTGTTCCGGAACGGTGCCTACGGTTTATGGCAATCAACTCCCAAAATACAACGACTATCTTCTTGTGTGAGTAGCACTACAACACACAAAAAAGGCGAACCAGAATTTGGTTTACGAACTCTGGTATGCAAAGTGAAGAAAACCAGAATTTATGCAATAAGAATTTGGTTGAGAAATGAGAGAAAATGAATGCTATATGACCGTATCATTGGTATGAAGCTTGGGACGTCCCTAGGGGTCCTATATATAGAGGTTCAGAAGAAAATGAATGCTATATGATTGCATATTATTGGTGCGAAGATTGGGACGTCCAAGGGGTCCTATATATAGAGGATGAGGGGTTGTGAATGAAATGTCGCGTTCCAAGTTCAGCAACTCTTGCCAAAGGTCGCACCATTCACTGTCGCTAGTCTGTCACCATCGCCTCGCTCGAGCGATAAAAATAGTGACTTTTTCGCTAGCCTGCTAGCCTATCGCTCGATCGACATCCCAGTCATAAGCTAGCAACAGCCTTAGTCAATTTTTCAGACAGCTTCCTCTATTTTCTTCGCAACTTTGGACCGTAATTTCTCATTCATTCGGAATTGGTTTTGAGATTTCAAATATACCACGACGATCTACTCGACGAACAGAACAAGTCGGTCTATTTACTTTTGTAATTTGACTATCAGATCAAGTCTGAATATTTGGCCGAAATTGACACGAAAGTCACTTTTTCTAAGTTTTGGTTTTTCAAACCAATTTTCAACAATCCCCCCACGTGAATGGAAATTCCGCGATATACACAACAAATGTAAATGAATGTAAACTCTAACAACGGAGTTCGTGCGACAAGTCGTAGCATCAGGATAGGTGGCTTGTGGCTTTGAACCTTCTTCCTTAGTTGAATACAATTGAATTTACTAGGCTAGTTGGTGAACGTGGTGTCTTGAACAATTCAGCCGTTCGTGTAAATTCAGGCAACTGTACCAACACCATAACTCATCTAACCATTTCGGTTATCATGGTTGTGTCCATTTTGGCCCTGGACAGCTCTTGGTTTCATAAGTGCTTTCGGAGAATTAAGCCTCAAATTCTTGTAGAAGCGGCCCAACTTCACACTTAAATATGCGATCTCCTACCTTTCTTCTCTCAAGGTACATGAATCATTAAAAGTTTTTAATGTATCCTTATACATGTTTAACATAGCACTTTAGGAATGGGAATAAGTGCTTTACCCTGAATCGTTTATAACTTAGTTGTCCTATTGAACCAAGATCTTGGGATCTTCAATCTACAAGGTTGGGTTTCCGCCTAGTGATTCTTATTCGATAGGCTTGAGGCCCATTCCCCTCGAAAGATAGTATACTTGATCTCTAGTAAGTCCTTTCGTTAAAGGATCTGCCAAATTCTCTTTTAACCTAACATATTAAATAGAGATTATACCATTTGATATCAATTGTTTAATGGTATTATGTCTTCGACGTATGTGTCGAGATTTACCATTATACATGTTATTCTGTGCCCTTGCAATTGCCGATTGATTATCGCAATGTATGTTAACTGTTAGTACCGGTTTTCCCCAACATGGAATTTCTTCGAGGAAATTACGAAGCCATTCTGCTTCTTCTTCGGCTTTATCTAAAGTAATAAACTCGGACTCTATCGTGGATTGAGCTAATACACATTTGTTTAGATGATTTCCAAGACACGGCTCCGCCTCCAATGGTAAACACATAACCACTGGTAGACTTTGAATCCTTCGTGTCAGTTATTCAATTTGCATCGGCATATCCTTCTAACACCGCATGATATCTTGAGTAGTGTAATCCATAATTGACCATATGTCTTAGGTATCTAAGAACTCGGTTCAACGCCTTCCAATGTACAGTGTTCGGATTACTTGTGAATCAACTCAATTTGTTGACTATGTATGCTATATTCGGACTCGTACTGTTGATGACATACATCAAACTGCTTATAACGCGTGCATACTCCAATTGAGACACGGGCTCACCGGTATTCTTGGCTAGATGTACTCCTAAGTTAACTGGTGTCTTAATAGAATTATCGTCATACGCCTTAAACTTTTTAAGTATAGTCTCAATATAATGTGATTGAGACAATGACAATTCATCGTGCGTCTTAGAGATTTTAATCCCTAATATGACGTCTGCAACTCCCATATCTTTCATGTCAAAATGTTTCGTTAACATTTTATTTGTCGAGGAAATGACATTTAAGTTATTTCTCATTATTAGCGTATCGTCAACATATAGACAAACGATCACATATTCGTTAGGTGTGGTTTTAACGTAGACACATTTGTCACATTCGTTCATCTTGAAGTCATTTGACATCATAGTTCTATCAAACTTCTCGTGCTATTGTTTCGATGCTTGCTTTAATCCATAAAGCGACTTTACGAGCTTACACACCTTCTCATTTCTCAGGGCAACAAACCCTTCCGATTATTTCATGTATATTTCTTCTTCTAATTCACCGTTTAGAAATGCAGTCTTCACATTCATTTGATATATTTCTAAATTATACAATGCTACGATTGCAGTCAAGACATGTGTAGACGTGATCCTTGTCATAGGTGAATAGGTATTGAAGAAATCTAGACATTCTTTTTGTCTATACCTTTTGGCTACTAGTCTAGCCTTGTATTTATCGATTGATCCATCCGACTTCAATTTCTTTTTGAAAATCTATTTGTAGCCTAAAGCTTTGTTTCCCGGAGGAAGATCAACCAACTCCCAAGTGTGGTTGTTCATGATTGATTCAATTTCACTATTTACTGTTTCTTTCCATAAAGGCACTTCGGGTAAGGACATAGCTTCATCAAATGTTCTAGGATCATTTTCTAACAAATGAGTTACGAATTCTGGACCAAACGTCTTATGAATTCATTGTCTTTTACTACGCCTTGGCTCTTCATTTGTTTGAAGATTTTCATGATCTTTTTCATCATAAGTTCGTTTGTGTGAACTTTTTTTTTTTCGTACAAGAAAATATATCTTCAAAGAAAACAACATTCCTTGATTCAATGATTGTACCTTCGTGTACATCAAGTAATTCAGATTTATGAACCAAAAATCGATATGCACTACTATTAGTCACATATCCGATAAGGATACAATCAATTGTCTTAGGTCCAATCCTC